GGAGAACACCATATGTAATTGGTGTTCTCTGGATAAAAGATTAATTATTCCACTAAAAGGCTTCCCTGATGAGGTTATTTACCCGTCATTGGTTCTAACATTATGTCTAATCAGTATACATCGACCTTCTCTATGAGTAAATGCAGGAATTTAATATTTTGTATTATTATTATTACTGCCTCCTTTTTGTTTCCATTGAAAAATGAGGTGGCTTTAAAGTTTGAAAAGATAAACAATTAAATATGTACAGTGATGGATTAACAACGATAAAGACAGCCCACAGACACACACTAAGTACTTTAAATCATCTGATGATCTCATCCCTCCATCCCCTCCATCCCCCGGATACATTTTCATTTAGAAGATGCATCGAGGTGAAAGAACCAAAGAGCCACATCCACTTTAGTCCTTACAGCTTTGGGTTATGACGTCTAACGCACCATTAACTGAGCAGAGTGAGCTCTTCCCCCACACTGAGTAGGTTTCCTTCTAACACAGAGCGAAATGAGAGAAACCAGAGGAGGTTCTGAATCGATTTAGTCAGAATTGGTCCAAACTGCCATTCTCCGTCAGGCTGCAGACCTGACTCAAACCCATTAATACAACCCTGCTCTGTCAGGGTTTCATTTAGCTCTTCTTTGTGTAGAACTTTAAAATCATTATCCCTCGTTTCCGACTACATTTTTCTGTCTATGAAGTAAAAAGGATGAGAATCACTCTGTAAAGTGTAAGTGGTTGTGTGTCTGTCAGAGTTAGGAATTGGGCTCACAGCTGCTGATGGAGATGCTGCACAGGGATTTAAAATGTGGATGAGCTGATTAATGGGAAGTTAGTGGAACGCTGCTTCGTTCTTCGCCCCATTTTTAAGCCCCAGATCATCTTTGGCTACAGCACAGCAAAATATAGAAATGTTTGATTATAATTCGCTTTCTGTGAAGACAACTTTCTTTAATTATTGTTGCAAAAAAAATAAAAAAATAACAGCTAAATTTGGAAAAAAAAAAAAGGAAAAAATTTTCTTATTCAAAAAAGGCTTTAAGAGTAACTTTGATGTTTCTTCATATTTTATTTTTTAAACATTTTTATATTATTTTATAGTGTTAAAGATAGGCCCCTATGTCTGCACCTTGAAGCTTTCTCTCTCCGGTTATTTTCCCTGAAAAGAGATCACTCAGGACAAACTCTTTAAATATTACTTCATAACTTATATGTATTAAATAACCAGGAGACATGACAACAGATTCTGATAGAAATTGTAATCTTACTCAGATCAGAGAAGTTGCTTAGAGTTTACAGAAGGCAGCTGCTCACCTCTGGGCTCACCTCTCAGGAGGTGGCCCCGATAAACTCTTAAAGAGGCATTTCATACATCTCCAGTCTGCCACATGATCTTATTTTACATAATACATGTTAGCAGATGAGTAGACATCCATAGCTCCAGTTCTACAAAATATTACACTTTGCTCTTAGCTGAAGGACACCGCTCTCATTTCATTTCCAAATCTTTGCCACGTACAGAATGAAGATTCTAACTGTATACCCTAACTATAGTGGAAAACCTCAGTTCTGACATGCAACAGGCAGCTTATACTAAGGTGTAATAAACTCACACATCATCAATGATAATTATCCTAAAAATAGTTACAATTTTGACTTTTTATTTTCTCTTTTTAAGATCACATTCTCTTCACTTCATGCCAAATAAAAATGCTCCCATTAACCAATGAAAAAATGTTGCTAACGCCCATCCAGACCAATAGAAATGTGTCTTCACTCCAGAGGGAAGACCGCCCCCAGAACTAAAGAGAAGTGACGTGTAAAATGCAGTTTTAAATAATGCGATTTGCAAAACTCAAGCTGAAAAAGAGATATCTAAAAATGTACAGCAAAATTAGAAAACAGAAAATAGATATATTTTAACCGAGCGTTTTGGGTCCATATTATGAACTATTATGAGAGACGGGCCGGAGTTTTCAGAGGTAACCCCGCTTCCGGTTTTATTTTTTTCTTCTTCTCCTTCTTACACATAACCAAAACTCACAAGCTCCCCCTGCCGTACACCCAGCAAACTTTCGCTCCCCGGCAACAGGGATGGACACAACTTTAACATACAGACACAGAACAGTCTGTTACAATATCAAACAAATTTAAATGAAATCTCAGAAAACAGCCATAGAAGTTCAAAAACATTTTTTTTCCAAGTGTTATTTCTGGATTGCATGGTTTTTTTAGATTTCAGTTTACAAAATATTTAGCAGAAAAGAAATCAATCGATTCCTTTACATTTTTGCAAAATCAATGTGTAGGGAATGAGATCGATTAGTTTTATAGTGACGCGCGTGACGTTCACATTCAAATGAGCAGGAAAGATGCTCTCAAGATGACTTCAAGCCAGACACCTGCAAATATTGCCAATAGGCTGATGGAAGACATTAACAAATGGAGGCTGACCAGCAAACACCCTGTAATGCAGCTCATGCATGTCTGCTGTCTCCCTGCTGAGGCTTCATTTTTTCACTTTTCACAAACAAGTTTGCACTTTATGTTTAATATGACAGGAAAAAAAAAAATACATGAGTGTTTTGAAACTCAGTTGAACCACTTTCATTGTTGTAAAAACAGATCGAATCGAAATTAATCGATTTAGAACTGTATGAATCAAAATCAAATCAATTCAAGACTTTGGTGAAAATACTCAGCCCTATAAAGGACCTGGGTTTATTTTTCATGACCTTCACGACGCTAATTGGAGAAAAGATAATCAGTGTGATGACTTCTAAAAAAGCAGGAGATTTGTTAGTTTGTTTCTCCGTAATCGAGTGCTAACTCGATGCCGGGGTGTCAAGACATCAAAAACTATTTCAGAGTAGTAACCGTAGCTTTAGATCAGTCTACTAAAGGTCATGGCAGCTTTTTTTATTTTTCATTTTGTGCTTGTTTGAGCAGATAAGACCTGAATACCCTGAAAAACACCCAGTTAACAACAAATGCCTCAATATTAACGTATTCTAGAGTCCATTGTGAGGATATTGTTCGGTCCAAATAGTGGTCTAGAAAGCCCTCACAATGAGAGAAACAGATAAAGTTGGATGGAAAATGAGCCACAGGTGGTTCTATGAGCCATTCCCATGGAGATATTGGACGGCGCTTCAGAGGGAAACAATTTTTAGGATACAATGTACTTTAAAACCACCATCTCCTTGTGTTTACAAAGTACAGAGATGGACTATCAGGCAGATTAAATTGGTTTTTGATTGAACTGCTCTTGTAAATTCAAAATTATTTTTAAATCTTATTGTATCATTGTTTAATTTTGTGTTATAAACTCCCTTTGGACTAATTGTGAACACTAACACTTAGTAAAACAGACCTAAACATTACATGTGGTTTTATGTTACATTGATGATGTATATCTGATGCCCATATCAAAAGGATAAACAAAATAAAATAAAACATTTATTAACAAATCAGAAATGGAGCGAACGGCCATGCATGTAGTTCACCCGACCTCGAAGAACAGATGCTAAATGCATTAATGAATCAGTCAGTGCCTGCAAATATCAGCCAATACAAAGTAAATGTCGGTTTAAATTTAGCCTTTTTTGTAACAGGCTACTAAAAATAAAGAAACATAATTATCGATGTCGACTGATTTGAAAGGCTTACATTTTTCAGCTGCGTGGCACGGCCCTAAATGAGGCCGAAAGCTCAACATTCCTGCTAACATACAGACATAACATTACCTTTATAGTGATAAACTAATAATGCACATCACCAGAGCAAAAAAAGTTATAATGTCTTGAAATAAGTGTATTTGTCCTTAATTAGTGCAGATAAATAAGATGGTCTGCCAGCAGAATTAGTTTTTCCCCCTTAAAATAAGATAAATGGATTGTATTCAGTTGTGTCACTAAGATTAACTACAAAGACTAACGGCAGTCCTGATGTTACGCTTTTAAATATTTTATTTATTCATCAAGATTATAGTTCATATTTAGAGTAAAAGACGATACAGCATCTCAAGTTAAGTTAATGACAGGATCCAATCAAGTGGTGTTCTTAAGAAAACTTTTAACCGATCAGACTGGATGATCTGATTGAATAGTTTCTGTGAAGAGCCTTGAGATGACCTGTTGTCCAAATAAACTAAATTGAATTGAAAGTGAAGATGAAAGACATTGATGTATTGAAGATGAGAGAACAGGTGACAAGAGGAACTGCATGGATGCTGAGAGCCTGTAATGGTGCTAATTCTGTAGGCAGAGGTGTTAATAACCTTGAACCATCCTCGCCGATCAGACATGCTTGAATTTATGAGGTCAGGTCGAAATCAGTCAATTAGAGCTAGAAGAGTGGAGCGATGATCTAGCGCATGAAAAACAGTGACAGAGAAGGGTCACATGGAGAGGCCGAGGAGGAGAAACACAGAGGAAAGTAATTAAAACGCAAGAAGAGTGGAGGTAGAACTCGGATCGCCTTGGGTGCATCCATCTCCACGCAGACAGGAACACATAACAAATGAAGGGTGCGATGCCGGCATTTCAGTATCGGAGGGGAGAGCGTGTTCTCTAATTAACAACTACCCAACGGGGGCCATCTCCTGCTGCAAAAACAAGCCAGTCTCCTCCTCTCGTTCTTGTCTCCATCAGCTTCCCTCCCTTTATAATCCGGTGTGAGGTTTTAACATGCAAACCCATTGAGAAGGATCTGATTTGGGAATAGATTTGAAAGCAGGAGGAGATAGAGAGGTAATGAGCTCACAGCAGTCCAGAGGGGAGCTTTGTTGCATGAATGTTCAGGGTAACATGGTGGATTTATGAGCATCATCATGTTTGTTTGCATGTTTGCATCTGCAGGGACAAATCACTGTGCACAGATTCTCTCCCAAAACCACAAACTCAAACTCATTTTCTACTTTGAACACCAAAGAATGCTCCCATCCTATCAAACCTTGTGTGCGTGAATGTGCAGGGATGTTTCTGTGTGCGTTCAACACTCACTCCACTGGGGGGTTGATGTCCTCGGCTTTTGTCTCGAAGAAGTGAAGCACCTCCTCGCTCTGAGAGATGTGAGGAGGGAGTCTCACCAGAGCCTGAAGACAGAAAGAGACGAGCACCATGAGGTCTAACAGAAACAGGGTGGTTCAATAGACAACGTTATGGCCGCTGTACTAAGAGCATACACCGCAAAATTTTAAATCTAAGTCTAGAATAGAAAGTATTCTCCCTTCAGCAGGAAAAGACAATTTGCAAACAAAAATAATGTGATTAACATTATAGAACCACTCCATTAGGAAATTCCCAATGTATCATATTTGATTGTTTTTATAGGAGGAAAAACACCAATTCCTTTGGCATATTATATTATTTACCTGCTAAAATTAATGGCAAATACACTTATTTATGCTTATCTGTGAAGATTCTCAGTCATCCAGGAGAACATGAAACTTGATGACTAAAGAGACAGGACCTTACAGAATAGATCTTACTGATTCTTCCCTTGGACCAACATATTCCACCTTAACAATTTACTTTAACAGTTCATTAGAAATCAGTCAACTCTGGTGGCATTAACCCTTTATAGGGTGAGTTAGTGTTTT